GCCGGTTTTGATGATTCTTTTCCAACAGCTCTTTCTAGCGCGTTCTCCACCTCTATCTCTAACAGCTCGGCAAACATCGATTACTATGCCGCAGCACATACATTCCAAGAGCAACTTCCGCCAAAACCCTCCATCCTGGTGGGAGGGACACTCAAAGAGTATCAGCAGCGCGGAGTTGCATGGATGCTTTCCCTGTATAACAACCGCCTCAACGGAATACTAGCTGACGAAATGGGCCTTGGAAAGACCATTCAAACGATTGCGCTTATCACGTATTTGGTGGAATGTAAAAGGCAAAATGGGCCTTTTCTTATCATCGTTCCCCTGTCAACGATTCCAAATTGGGTAAATGAGTTTGATAAATGGGCCCCTACACTCCTTCGCGTCGAGTACAAGGGTACCCCTGACCAGCGCAAGGCCCTGCAGGCCTCGATCAAGGGAAGTGCCCGCATGAATGTCCTTCTAACCACATACGATTACATCATCAAGGACAAGTCCTTCCTTTCAAAAATCCCTTTTTTATACATGATTATTGATGAGGGTCACCGTATGAAGAATACAACCTCAAAGCTTTCGCTGACGTTGACGCAGTCTTATATCACAAAGTATCGCCTCATTTTAACCGGAACGCCATTGCAAAACAATTTGCCTGAATTATGGTCCCTGTTGAATTTTGTGCTTCCCAAAATCTTCTCTTCAAGCAAGTCGTTTGAAGAGTGGTTTAATGCGCCTTTTGCAAATACTGGCGAACGGCTGGAGCTAAATGAAGAGGAGACCCTACTTATCATCCGAAGACTTCATAAGGTTCTGCGGCCGTTCTTATTGCGACGCCTGAAAAATGATGTTGAGGGGGATTTGCCCGATAAAATAGAACGTGTCATCAGATGTCCTATGAGTGCTATTCAATCGGAACTTTACCTATCTCTGCAAAAGAAGGCCACCAATCCAAAAAAAGGGGGAATCAGAGCATTCAACAATACTGTTATGCAGCTTCGTAAAGTATGCAATCACCCCTTTGTCTTTGAAGAAGTCGAGGCTACTTTGAATCCTACCAGGGCCAACAACGATCTTCTTTACAGAACAAGTGGAAAGTTTGAGCTGCTTGGTAGGATTTTACCAAAGATGAAGGCCGCATCTCACAAGGTCCTCATATTTTTCCAAATGACTTCTGTCATGACAATCATGGAGGACTTTCTCAATTTGCTAATGATTTCGTATTTGAGGTTAGATGGTTCAACACCTGCTGCAGAGCGTTCTGTGCTTCTAAACAAGTTCAACGCACCAGATTCTCCATATGTAATCTTCCTATTAAGCACACGAGCTGGTGGGTTAGGGCTCAATCTTCAAACTGCCGACACGGTCATCATTTTCGATAGCGACTGGAATCCACATGCTGATTTGCAGGCCCAAGATCGGGCCCATCGAATTGGGCAGACTCGCGAGGTCAGGATTTTCCGCCTAGTCACGGTCGATTCTATTGAAGAGGTATTTTTAAGTTTCATTTTCTATTTTGTGATTTTATCTCCGCTTTGTGTTTCCCCTCTCCAATTTGGCATCCTTTTTTATTATAGGTAATTTTGGCGCGGGCCCAACACAAACTAGCCCTCGATGGTAAGGTGATACAGGCAGGGCGTTTCGACCACAAATCCACAAACGAAGAAAGAGAAGCTCTTCTCCGGGCAATTTTGGAGACAGAAGCTGCCTCTGTAGAGGAAGAAAAAAGAACAGAGTCTGCCATTCTCGAAAATGACGAGCTTAATGAAATGCTTGCGAGAGGAGATCACGAGCTCCAACTCTTCCAATCGATAGATAAGCAAAGAATAGCATCAAAGCCATCCCTAATTACCCGAGAGGAGCTGCCTAAAATATTCCTACATGAGACAATGAATGAGGCAGACGATGACGATTTCCTTCCAGAACGAAGGCGTGCTCAATGGTCTTCCTCTTATGCAAAGGATGACCGTCTAACGGATGCCCAATGGCTGAAGAAGCTTGATGAAGACGACCAAGGCCCTATTGAAGGAGATAGCGATGAGATCGCCAACACTGCTGAAAATGACGATGTGATCGATAGCGGCGATTATGACGATAATTTAGAGGAGATTGAGGATGACATGGGTGATGAGGATGCTGACAACATTTCTTCATTGAGAATCAAGAGGCATTGTGCTTGAATATATAAATCTCCCCTTTTAATTGGCTGTCTCAATTAGCAGATAAGATAGTGACGACAATTAACGGGCCTGCTTTGCGGCCCTAACTTTGGCCAACATAAAAGTGCCATTGAATAGCCCGCGTCTTGTGTTGTAGTTTTTGTTTATTTCGAAAAGCGAAATTTTATTGGCCTAAGGTTGCCAAGCAATACCCATGGAATTGCTATTACACAGAAACCGCACTTGAAAAACTACAATGACGGCTACAACCATTCATTATCAGGGGTTTTCATCCCTCCAGCAGCTTGCCTTAGAGGACAAAGATCGCGATGAACGCAACAAAAGCCAATTCGTTGATGTTATTTTGGATGAACTCATTACTGCCTCAATGGGCGATAATATATCCGCTGGCTCGCATTCTGAATTAGCATCCATGGTATCCCATACTGATATTGTGATCCCGCCCACAAGCGTACTTGGAGAAAGCATTTTAGATGGCGCACTAGTGCCTGCAGAGCAGGAGGCTCCCTCAAAGTTTGCCACCTTTGGCGCTGTAGACGATGATAAAGCCGAGCGTTCTTTTGTGCAAGATGAAAAGCTTGTCCTTGCAAACGCTTTTTCTTCTGGTGTGAACTTGCTSAAGACATTTATTGGTGCTGGAATCATTTCATTGCCATTGGCACTTGCCTCTTTTGGCCTTCTAACTGGTATAATCCTTCTTGTGATTGCAGGCTTTACGGCTCTACTTGGCCTTTATTTTTACATTTACGCTGCAGTACAGGTTGGCGGTAGGAATGTTACACCCCAGTCGTTTGCCTCGATTTCTTGGCCATTTCTTGGATATCTGCTAAGTATTTCCATCTTTTTCAAAAACATTGGAGTGGGTCTCGCATATCTTTTGCTGATTGGAAATATTATGTCCACGCTGATGCAAGGCTTTCTTGGTGGCTCAGGCTTTTGGACAAATCCCCGCATCTGGATTTCCACTTTTATGGTCGCCATCATCGGCCCGCTCAGCTTCCTACGGCGGCTGGACCATCTAAAATATTCATCGTCATTGGGCCTTGTTTCTGTTGCCTATCTTTTGGGATTGTCTATTTTCCACTTTTTTGCTATTGGCATAAGTCCCTCATCGGCCGCTGTGATTCGACTGTTTGCCCCTTTTTCTATGAAGGCGCTTTCTAGATTTGGGATCTTTGTTTTTGCTTTTACTTGCCATCAAAATATTTTGCCAATTTATAATGAGACTCGTCGAAATTCGATCAAGGAGCTAATGTATCTTTGTGCTGTCTGTGTTGCCATCAGCCTGGCCATTTATGTCTCTTACGGAACATTTTCATATCTCTGCTATGCAGACGTGCTTATCAATGGATCGATGTTCTCATACTATCCACAGGACGAAATTCCTTTCCAAATTGCCCGGGTCCTGTTTACCCTTTTGCTTGCCTTTTCCTATCCGCTGCAAGTTGTCCCTTTCCGCATGGCCTCGAATTTTTTGTTTAGAGGCGGAAAGAAGGAAACCATACTTTCGCATGTGCTTTTCACTTCCTTTATACTGGGGTTCACTTTTAGCATATCAATGTTCTTGCCGGACCTTTCCAACGTGCTCTCTTTGGTTGGGTCGATGACGTCCTCTGTGATTTGCTACATTGTTCCCTCGCTGTTTTATCTTTCGATTACAAGTGGCCGCCCTTTCTGGGCTGCCAAAAGACATTGGGCCTGTTTACTGCTTCTTTTTGGCATGTTAGTGTTTCTATGTTGTACGTCCATGTCGATCATGAACTTTATTACAAATTAAGCGATAATTTATTATGTGATAGAAAAGCCTAAATTTTAATAAACATCTAAATTTAAATTTTAAATGCATTGCACCGTTTTTTTATTCGCATGTCTGGCTTTATCGAAGATGAGATTTGGGCACTGCATGTTGCTCCGCACAAAACTTACACTCAGAATGTACAGATGCCGTTTCGCATAACGATGGCTGCACTTGGACAAACTATCACCAGTCAAGCAAGGAGTTCTGTCATCCTCAGATTGGATGAGACAGAGTATGTTCTCTGTTCCCTGACTGCTGGAAAGGTAAATTAAAACGGAAAATAATGTTTACGCATAGATCGAGCAGCAGCAGCTGTCGCAAACCATTGTTGCTGGAGAGAATATCACTCTGTTTACAGATGGCGAGAATACAATCCATCTAACGGGAAATTTTCTCTCCATGGAAGAGGGGCCCTCTTATGACGTTAATGAAAACTATTCTGATGACGATGAATCGGAAGATGATGATGATTATGATGAGGACGATTCATTCATTGACGATGATTCTGAAGAGGAGGAAGAGCAGGGTAAAAGTCCAAAGATTGAGGAAATCGATAGCGAACCAAAAGGGTCCAAAAACAATGTTAAAGGCATTTCTTCCGACGAAGAAGAGCCTGAAGTTGAAAATAACCTTCAATTTGAAGACTCTGCCGACTCTGATCTCTCAGAAGACATCGAGGATGCCTCCGAAGGGGACGAAGATGAAGACGAAGACGAAGATGATTTTGACTCTGAAGACTATAGCTCCGAAGATGAAGATTCCTCTGAAGAGGAGGTCAAGCAAGAGGCTATCCCAAATAAGAGAGCATCACCGTCGCCCCAACCACAACAACCAAACAAAAAGGGAAAGCAGGATATCCAAGTGTCTCAATCCGAAAAAGAGGCTCCCAAACAAGTGCCCAAAAAAGGTCAGCAAAATCAGACGCCTCAAAAGCATCAAACTCAACCGCAAAAAACCCCGTCTCCTGTGGGGCAAAAAAATCACGAGACTCCAAATAACAAGCAAACCCCAGTAGCAAAGCAGGATACTCCAAATAACAAACAAAGCCCGGTAGCAAAGCAGGAGACTCCAAAACAGCAACAAAATGCCCCCAAAAAGCAAGATATCCCACAGAAACAAGAGACCCCAAAAAAGCACGATTCTTCTCCTCAGCAGCAAGGTACATCCCAGAAGCAAGATACGCCAAAATCATCCGGCGAATTCAAGAAAATTACGGGTGGCGTTGAGATTAAAGACACGGTTCTTTCAAACTCAGATAAAAAGGTCAAGAAGGGCTCAAAAGTCCATGTTGTATACAAGGGCACATTGTCCAATGGCAACGTCTTTGATTCCAACAATGAAAAGAATCTTTTTCAGTTCCAAGTGGGCAAGGGAAGTGTCATCAAGGGCCTCGATATTGGCGTTGAAGGAATGACCCTAAATAGCACCCGAATTGTTAAGATTCCAGCAGCCTTGGCATATGGAAGCAAGAAGCTTCCTGGAATCCCTGCCAATTCAGATCTCACCTTCCAGGTCCAGCTCAAGCGCATTGATTGAAGAATAAATTAAATACAAAATTTTTACACCCAAATACGCCAAAATCTGCCCGGGTTTACACAATCACAATGTGTGGGTCTTTTTGTTGTTGCATGGGTTAATTAAATCGCGATGGGATCTGATCTGCTTGATGATTGCTTCCTGCGCGCCTAAATTCTTTTACTTGCCGGAAATATAGCATGTGCACCTCATTATCCCCAAATAGATGGTTCGTTTTCGTCCTCTTGCTTTGGAACTGCCTTTATGTACAAGCAAAAGTCGATCAAGAACCCCGGTCAACAGCCCTTTGCTCAAATGTAAACAATACCTTTGAGAAGCCCTCAATTTCAAGCAGATCCCAAAATGCAAGTGCAATCGAAACAACAGACAAGATAATAGCAGCTTATAACCTCTCCGATCTCCCGCATATTTGCTTTAGTTTTCACGTCCCCATGCGTGCTTTTGCCTTTGATACAGAAGCACCCGAAATGCTTTTCAACAGCGAGGATGCGTTAAATATTTATCCCCCTTTGAATTGCAGCGAAATTGGGGCCAAGGTTAATTTTTCATGCTTCTGCGAAAATGAAACTGCACATTTGTACCTTCCTATGGCTTCAAATTCAGGAACCGGAAATTCCCACTTGAGGCCACAACCTGCACCATGTTCTTGCCTTGAATCATCTAAGCTAAACATTCCCGGACCAAACCTTAATTACTGGTCTAATGAAACTCGAGCTGATTCGCATCAAAGTGTTGATGGCACGCCAAATCAAATTTTGCACCAAAACTTTCCCATTGCCATTGATTACAAATTGGCTAACGAAAACTTGATAGCATTCACGTTGGAAGGGGCAAAGTTGAGCAAGCCGCTCCGTGTTGTTGCAGCGTATCTTCCCTCATGGCTGGTTTACCAAAAAGTCCCACAAAGTGCACTTGATTTCAAAGACAAAATCTCCAAACTAACCCACTTGATCTATTGTTTCGCTGGTATTGACCCCGAAAATGGGGCTGTCTCGTTCAAACCCAACGAATATGCGCATTATGAGTGGAATTCCATTAGCGATGAAGAATTGTCCTCCGAACAGGATGTTCCTGAATTTCGGGGAAACTTCATTGCTTTATGGAAGGTTAAAAAGCTTAATCCGCTGTTAAAGCTTGGATTTTCCATCGGAGGCTACGTATATTCTACATCTTACTCTTCACTTATTTCCGATGCAAAGTGTAGGATAGAAATTGTCAAGTCCATAAAAAGGCTTTTGGTGGAAGAATTCCCGTTTTTTGATTTCGTTGATTTTGATTGGGAACATTTGAAAACGCCGCTTGATGCCGTGTATTTTGCAGAGATCCTCTTGCTACTGAAACTTTCTTTAGAGGGCACTGGAAAGCAAATTACGATGGCCGTTCCTTTTGGGATAGAAACTTTCCTCACATCCGGGAATGGATTTCCGCATCAAGAAATATTAAATCGATGCGTTGATTTATTTTTTGTGATGACTTATGATTATGCTGGCAGCTGGAGCGAAAAATCGGGCCACAATTCTCCATTCTCGGCTGTGAAAAAATCTATATCCTCCCTTTTTGGTGTATTGGACACCTCCAAAATCGTCCTTGGCATCCAAATAAGCGGAAAGATCTTTTACAACTGCTCTGGTTTCAATCAGCCATTCTCAAATGTTTACGTTCAGAAGAATGTGGATCCCAGTCCCACCAGCAAACAAAAACTCTCACACATCTTATCTCTCTCAAATTCAGCAAAATACCAGGGGACCTCAAAGAATTCTGGTGTGTTAAGTGCATCAAACCCTAAAAATCATATTGTGGCAGGTAGTCTTGCCAAAGGGAGCGCAAATGAAGATATCGACCCTCGTTTGCTTGGGCTGTTAAACCCATCCATTACAGGCGAAAATGGCGATCACAACATCAATTTGCCTCAAAATATACCATACACAAATATCATGAAAATCATTCAAACTTGTCCCGATTTAATTGCCCGTGCAGTGTTTTCGAATGACGCTTACATATTGCTAAGACTCTCGAAAACATCTAAAAGGACCATTCTTATTACATATATTTCGAGACTAGATGTTATCGAAAGGGCTCGACTAGCTTCTAAGAATGCATTGGCCGGAATGTTTTTTTGGGAGATCAGTAATGACCTTTCCGGAGACAACTCCAATGCATCTCTTATGGGTGCTGTTTAAAAAATAATTTGCAAAATAAAAGTAACCTGAACCGATGCTGCTTAAACTTTACATGCTGCAGTTGCCTCCCACTCCGATTGGCATATAAATAATTTTAGGGTTCTTTAATTTTAGACTCATGTCTATGGCGTCTCAATCAATTGGCGGCAAGTCCTCGACAAGGAGGGTTGAAAAGCGCGTCCTTATCAAAGAACTGCGAACCATGTTATATGGCTTTGGCGATGTCCCTGTCCCAAGGCAGGATACGGTTGAGGTCGTTGAGGATTGTCTCTTTGATTTCCTAACCAGATTTGTAACTCTGCTTTTTTATGCTGTAGCTAACGCAGGCTTCAAAGGTAGCCAAGCCCCGTGGAGGGAAGGTTCGTACGGAAGATCTGCTTACAGTCCTTAAAAGAGACCCAAGAAAGCTTGGGCGCGTTGAGGAGCTTTTATTCATGAACGTAGAGCTGCGCAAAGCCCGAATGGCCTTTGAGACGGAAGAATAGCGCAAACCAAACATGGCCATTTAAAATGTTAACGATGCTCCATTGCACATGCAAATTTTGGCTTAAATAAACAAACACTCGGTGGTGGGGCAATTAAAAAGTTTAATAGAAAAATCCAAGGATCTTTCCACCAATGTGGCGCTTGCGGGCAGCCTCGTGGTCCATGATACCTTGAGAGGTGGTCAATATAATCTTTCCAATCTGACGGCTCGGAAGAAGCTTATTGATCCATTCCTCCATATTCTTCATTCCAACCGGGAAACGGGGTGAAATGACACCGCATTTGTTGAGGCGGCCATTGAGATGGATAACGATCTTTCCGCTGCGATGATTATCGATAACCTCAAACTCGTTGATGTATCCCGACTTTTGCATCAAAGAGAGGAACTGGATGGTAACCTTTGAGGCCGGGCGCACAAGAACCTGCCTCTTGCCGCTGCGTTCAGCATTGCAAATCGAGTTAAGGGTATCGTTCAGAACGCTCACACGGACCATGACACTATTGAGTAAGTGAGTGTGAATAACAGCGCTTGGTACGATTCCAAAACTCCACACATTAAATGTCTATTTAATGGATGTAAAGAACCAGATTAGCATAAGACAAGAACACTTACGATTTATAGGATAAAATAAAACCCGAATTTACAAAAATAACCCACTTTAAAATGCAATGTTTAAATGGCGATTTTACCTTCTTTGACCTTCCTAAAGATAAAATCTCACTTTAACAAATTCATCTCCTTATGCATCAGATTTTATCTAATGAGTTATTGTAAATATAAATAGGGCCATTTTGGGCTCTCTTCCCATGAAGATTCTTTTATTTGTGTTTCTGTTTCTATTGTTGGCTGCGTTAGGTTTCTGCTTTTTTGAAGAAAGCGTTTTGGAGGATAGCTCGTTTCCATCTCTTTTCGCGACAGAAGGAGACTATGACGGCGATGAAAGCGAAAATTATGATGACGATGGTGATGGTGGTGATGATGATGAGTACTCATTAACTCTTCAAGTATCGTCCATTAATCCCCTCAGTGAGCCCGAAGGTTCCTCGGACGCAGTGATAGCCGCAAATAGAGACTCTTTTGGGACGCTTCTTTCGCTTCTAAAATCCCAAGTGTCCAACTCTGACCCCAATGCCAAGTATAAATTTGGCCGCGTCATAGGAAAGGGCTCCAAAGGTGTCGTGATGGAGGCCACTAATCGCTTTGCCGGTCAAAAGGTTGCATTCACTGGTGATTTTATTTCGCTTTTCCTGTTGTTTTCATCATCTAATCCAAGTAGGTAATGAAAGGTTTAAAGTACTCATTCGTAGTACGCTGTGAAGATTCTTAAAATCAATACCCGTCGCAATGTTGTACATGCCCTGCGGGACCTTTATTTTTTGAACCACCTCGCTACGATTTCGTGGGTGCCGACCCCCGTGGATGTTTTTCTTCACAAGAAGCACTTTTACGTACGTTTGAAGCATTAAATTTAGTTGGTCCAACAGCTGGTGGACGGAGAGACACTTCGCACGGTCCCTCCACATTTGGTCTCTGAGCAAATGGCAAAGAGGATCCTGTATCAAATCATCTCGATGGCCTCATTCCTGCAGCAAAACAAAATTTGCCACAACGACATTTCCCTGTCCAACGTGATGATTGATCGTCAATCGCAGCGTATTTTGATGATCGACTTTGCAGATTCCAGCCTGATACATTCAAAAAATGCAAAGGCATCCACTTCTACAGCGATTTCCACGCTCAGTTATGGTTCGACCGGAATCAGTGCACCATCTGCCTCCACAAATGAGGCTACATTGGCTTTTATGAAGGTTTCGAATCATTCGGAATCAAAAAACCAATTGCCGAAACGATCTCCCTTCTTGCCAAACTCGGTTTCTGGTCCAAAGTTCCTCTCTCTTTCTCGTTTCCAACACTTGATGATAAAAGAGGGGGACTGCAAAGATGGCGTTAAGTTAGAACGATTGGTCCACAATTGGATTAAGAAGACCCAGCTCTCTACCGGCGTCCAAGTGTTGAAAAGGTCACTTTCGGAGTGTCTTAAAAAAAAATTTTGCTTAAATCCATTCTTAAACTTCCAATCTTCAATGGTGTCACACATTCCGACTTGATTGAACTACGGGGAGATCGTCGCCATGCACCCCGCCGTTGACAATAAACGCCAACATTACAAATTTAAGCATTGTCCCCTAGTTGGGAGAGGCCGAGTTTTAATGGACCATGGATGCTCGTTTGCAACAATTCAATTTTATTGGCAGTCTTCAAATTTTAAAGTAATTCGATTCAACTCTGGCAGTTAGAAGAATCTGCGCACGCAATTGTAGCGGGAGCAGGAAAAACATGTTCTTGGCAGGTATTGGCAAAAGTAGCCAAATGGGCAATCGCAAGGCGGAGAAAAAGGGCACGGAACGCAACCACCCCACCCAAATCCGCCTCTATCACCCCATCCAAACCCACCTCTATCGCCCCAACGGGGACGATCAAAATCTCGATTATTAAAATCGTCGTCACGTCTAAAACCGAACCCCCCTCTAGGTCCAAAATCAGCGACAGAAGCCGACGCATCCTGCTGATATGAGCCACCTTCACCAGAAGGCATTTGACCGTTTCCAAAAGAAGGACTATTGCTTGGAGTTTGATCATTTCCTAAAGAAACGCCATTACTCTGTGGAAAGCCTCCAAGAATGTTGACAGGTCCTGCACTTTGAGGAGTTGGTGAATTTGACTGAGATCCCATCTGATTCTGCTGCGGATTGCACGCTCCACCTATAATCACAAATGCAAAAAATACCATTTCCAGGAAAAATGTTTCCACTCGGAATTCCGCTTCCAGGAAAAATATTTCCACCTGGAATTCCGTTTCCAGATGGTATTGGTCCTTGAGAGGGGGGCAACGGGTTACCAGTGCTAGGTATGGACCCATGACCAGAGCTAGGCGGTTGCTGATTTTGCGGGGGATATTGTTTTCCAGCATTGGTGGAATATTGGGAAAAAGATGCCCCAATCGCTATCAGCAAGAGGAGAAAAATCTGCACAACTTTATAGTGAAGGCGCTGACTGGAGGAGAGATACATGAAACTTGGAGGCCGTTAATAATTTCGGCTTTTATACTTATCCAACTGATACTAGTGATCATCAGGAGCACCCCAACTAAGAAAAGCAGATATAAAAGGAACAAAAATTTTATTGAATTGGAAATTGTATTAAACTCGGAAGCCCAAAATTTAAATTGGCACTCAATTTAGGTCACGTAAGGGGAGCGCAGGGGTAAAGTTTGCCTCAAATAAATTGCAATTTATTGATGGCAAAGAAAGGAGCGGCAGTAGACATTGGAGTGATTGGAATGGCCGTCATGGGCCAAAATCTTGTCCTTAATTTCTTGGACCACAGCTATAACGTGGCAATATTTAATCGTACAAAGTCTAAGGTCGATCATTTTATGGAGAAATGGTCCACAATGATAGAGAGCGCTCAACCGGGCACTCCAACTCCTTCATCCTCTCTGGAGGAGTTCGTCTCTACAATGGAAGGGGGGCATAGAAAGATTATATTGATGATTCAGGCGGGAGATGCCATTGATGCTCTATTATCGGAACTAGTGCCACTTCTCTCCCCGGAAGATATTGTTATTGATGGAGGCAATTCTCATTACGTCGATACTCAAAGAAGAGCAGCTTCGCTTTCATCGTCCCACAAAATTCGATATGTGGGGTGTGGAATTTCAGGCGGAGAGCTTGGTGCCAGATATGGTCCGGCATTAATGCCCGGAGGCTCTCTCTGCGCGTGGTAAGTGAGGTCGCCACTTATAAGCTAGGGAAGAAATAAAGGACATGCTGCAAAAAATTGCAGCCAAGGGGCCGAAGGGGTACCCATGCTGCGAATGGCTTGGGCCAGATGCCTCTGGTCACTTTGTGAAAATGGTGCACAATGGCATCGAATATGCCGATATGCAGATGATTTCGGAAATCTTTCATGTCGCAAAAAACGCCCTAGCGAAAGATACTCCTACAATCGCTTGTTTGTTTCAAAAGTGGGCTTCTTCTGAATATCTCTCCTCATATTTGATCGAGATCACTGCAAATATTCTTTTCTTTAAGGAAAGCGAGAATGACACTTCTCCCCTTATCTCTCGCATTCGAGACACTGCTGGTCAGGTAGTTTGGTTTTCTTTTCTTTAGAAAGGAACCGGGAAATGGACCGTCGAGGCGGCCCTTACTTTGGGCGTCCCAGGAACCCTTTTTTCGGAGGCAGTATTTGCTCGCTCGCTCTCAAGCTCAAAAAAAGAACGTCTTAACGCATCATTGCTCTTTCCAAAAAAAGAGCCGCCATTTGACACGCCATTTGGGGACATTTCCCATATTTTGGGGGAAGCTTTGCTTGCCGCAAAGATCATCGCCTATTGCCAAGGATTTTCCTTGCTTATGAAGGCATCAAAAAACCATGGCTGGTCACTTTCTGGATCAACCATCTCAAAAATATGGCAGGGCGGATGCATTATTCGATCAAAACTGCTTGTTTTTTTTGAGGATTTGGATGATCTCCAATTCGAAAATTTGCTGGTATCCAAATGGGCTTCTGAAAGATTGAAGGCTTCGATCGAGTCTCTTCGTACCATAGTCGGTCTTTGCGTTAGCACAGGTGTCCCCTCGCCTGTGCTGTCTTCGGCGCTCTCGTATTTCGATACAGCTACATGTTCATATCTGCCTGGCGCTGCTCTGATCCAGGCGCAAAGGGACTACTTTGGCGCGCATCAATACGAACTTGAAGCTACCCCCGGGCTCTTTCACCACACAAACTGGACGGGCTCTGGAGGCTCTGCCCTTTCCTCAACCTACCAAGTATAAATGAGAATTTAGAATAAACACGCACATTATTTTCCGATCTATCGATTGGCAATACAGTGATCGATAGCAACAAACAAACGCTGCATAGATGGCAACCGTTAAAGGTATAACACTCGGAAATTGGTGCAAATTTTTAATTTTAATTGATGAAGTATCCGTCCTCGGCGAGAAACCCGGTCGATTGGGATGCCATTACCACATCCAGCGACGAAGAGAGCAGCGGAGCCAAGCAAGAAAAAGGAGAAGATCAGCTTAAAAATTTGTTCCAAAAGATATATGACCAGGGCACAGATGACACCAGACGGGCAATGATCAAGTCGTTGCAAGAGTCCGGCGGCACATGCCTATCGACCAACTGGAAGGATGTTGGATCGGCTCCGGTCAAGCCGTCGCCGCCAGAAGGTTGTGAAGCCAGAAAATTCGACTAGATAGACGCTAAACCGCGATTAAATTTTTAATTTTTAATTTACTGCCATGGACGAGCCGTTGGTTTCACGGGGCGTTGCCTCCACACTCCGTCTGCTTATGGATCGGGGAGTCCTCCGTAGTGAATACGACCAAAAGCCGCCGTCCAAAAAAATAGAATACAAGGACGAGCATGGACGATCGCTGACACCCAAGGAAGCCTTTAAGCTACTCTCGCACAAGTTCCATGGAAAGGCGCCTGGAAAACTAAAGGTGGAAAAGCTCTTGAAAAAGATTCAGACGGAAAAGGCTGTACTCGCAAAGCAGGTTGCCTCAATACCATCTACAAATGTCGAAATGATGGAAAAGGCAAGAATGAGCCAGGGGGCCGCCCATATTGTCGTTGCTAATAGCTCGATGATGTCTACCGCCACACGCTCCCACAAGCCTATCAATCGCAATAAAAAGGAAGCCAAGGCCGCAGTCCCAAAGAAGAAACTTCCTTTTGGCATGGTTTAGGGTTGGGAATGCGCAAGATTAAATTTGTAAATTTTCGATGAGAAATAATTTGAGGTTAAATTCTTTTGTAATTGTCTCAACATACAACAAATGGGCTTCGGTTTGCTAATTGAAATATTTGATCAACAACCGGATTAGCGATGGCATACATGCAAGATCCATGCGAAAACCCTTATAAAAAGGCCAAAAAGCCGTTCGACGAGTTTATCGATTGGGGCGGTGCCTCCTCATCTGGGGCAACCACTCCAGGGTCGTCTTCCTCGGGTACGGGAACACCCAACTCTTTTTCTGGCCAAGATTCCCGTCAAATTTCGCCATTAGCATCCCCTTCAAACATGTACAGTGCCATTCCCGGACCATATTCTGATATATTTCTCTCTAATACCACCAATAATTTTCACGCAAGTAAATCCGTGCTCGAGGGCGATGATTCGTCTTCGCAAGGCGCCACATTGCCTTCGGATCCCAACTTCAGCTCGCAAATCCCCACCATTGTGCATCACAATACAGATCTAGATGCATCATTTCCATACATAGTGTCTCCTTTGAAAGGGCCATCCGAACATCATGTGTCAGAGGATGTGGCTCCTCCTCAGCAGGTGACGCTTTTTCCGCTTATTTCCAACGTATACACGCCACTAATTTATTATCCACCCACGGTAAAGAGAGCGCCAGCTTGTCCTCCTTTGCTACCTGTTTCTCAAAGAAATCCTGGCATCAAACGCGCTCATCCGTGGGATGGGCTGAGGCTGAAGGCGGTCAAAAATATCGAGCTTCAGGCACTTTCTCTGATTCGGAGCTGGGTCTTCTATAAGCAGGGAAAGAAGAAAGAATTCCCATTGCCAGTGGAGGTAGAAATTCCCATCGAAAAGGCCGACGGTAATTGCTTTGAAGACACGATTTGCATTGCCGACCCGGATCTCTATGCCCGGCTTGTGGATCTCGAGCAAAAGAACCGATGAATAAACAATACACCGATTTTAAGCACACGGTCCCAAGTGGCAACGTTGGAGATTTATGCGTGTATTAGGAAACTGTACAAAGTTGACACAGATGCAAAACCTTAATGACAGCTCTACGATTTGCCTCCCTCTAATGAGGTTTCACTTGCGTTCCCATTTCGTCGGGTCCGATCGAAACGGTATGAAGGTCGGTAGTAACTCCCAGATTCATAATGATGGCCATGTGGTTCTGGATGGCGATCGTGCTCGCGATGGCTAAAATCCCGAAATCCGCCTCTACGGTGTCGCTGATAATAGTGGTCGGGTGGTGGCGGTCTTTCTCTTTGATCCCAATCATCCGGAGCAGTCATGCGATACGGACGGTACTGGCGGAAATCCTCAGAGCGATCATCTTTAAAACGATGATGATGATGATGCTCATGATGATGATGATGATGATTGTTGTTCTGATGGTAGGAGGAAAGGGGAGTTGGGCGGCGGTTCAGGTTATACTCAAAGGGAGAATAGCTCACCGCCGAAGATGATCGATGGCCAGAGTATGTTCGTGGTGAGGTGGATGTTTCGATTCCATCCATAGGGCGATGTGTTACGTTTGGTAGATCCTCTGTTTTCTCTCGATTGAGAATGGCAGAATTATGCTTTGTAGATACAGAATCACACGGCTGCGGTGACGACATTTTCTCGTCTGGTTTGACAGGTGGTCCAGAAGAGTATTGACGTGTAAAGGTAGCGGAGATAGAGACAGAGGAGGATGCAGGTGCAGCTGCAGCTGCAGCTGCTGACTCGACTGCCCCAGCAGCAGCGACAGCTGCATTCGTAGCATCGCGACGACGCTTTGCCAGCTCATGATAGGAGCATCCAGAAAAATGAGGCAATTCAGCGGTAGTCGCCGTCAGAGGCAGGGCTGTAGTAAATGCCGGATGCTCCAAGGCTTCCTTTGCCGATATTCTTGCATCCGGATCGATACTGAGCAGACGATGTACAAGATCAAGCATCTGGGCATCGCCAATCCGACTCTCATCAAGTGGATGCAACGGCTTTGCTTGATGCTCAGAAAACAAATTAGGAACTTTGGAGGAGTCAGGAAGATTGGCTAAACTGCGCATTCCAGGCCGAGGCCAGCCAATGGTGTCAAAAATCAAAGTCAACTGATGCAGTTCAGACGTGCCCTGAAAGAGAGGCTGCCGTAAAAAAAGCTCTGCAACGATGCAACCAACACCCCACATATCAACTGCCGTTGTGTAATGTTGAGCGCCAAGCAACAGCTCTGGCGGCCGATACCATCTTGTGACAACGCCTGGCGTCATCGATGCAGCACGATGGGGGTCGAACGTCCTGGAAAGGCCAAAGTCGGCAATCTTTACCTCCCCTCGATTCCCGACAAGGATATTTGCGCCTAGGGTTAGGGAATCAAATTAAAAGAAAACACGCATTGCAGAACACAGGTCGGAGACGAAACAAAAAGAGGTCAAAATACGATATCCAGACTTACTTTTGATGTCGCGATGCAGCAAGTTTTTTGAATGTACATAGGCAACACCTTGAAGCAGTTGTTTCGCATAGTACTTGATTTGGGGCACATTGAACCGTATGTTTGGTGCATCTAGAAGGCCAACCAGGTCATGCTCCACAAACGGGAAAACAATGAAAAAAGTCGGCGGGCCTTGTGAACTTGCCGTAGAGAGCGCAAGTTCCTGAATGGAAATGACATTTTGATGGTTCATACGCTTAAGGATCCTTATTTCCCTCAAAGATGTAATTGGAAACTAAACATAAGCTCGTTGCTAGATACCCCTTCGCCATTAGGCATTGGAAGGATGCGCTTCAGTGCCACTAGGCGCCCAGTGGCTCGATGACGTGCGCGGTGCACCTCGCCAAATGTTCCTTCACCAACCTACCGGAAATAAAAACGAAATCAAAAGACTATGGTGCGGAGGCAAAAGAAAGATGGATTACCTTGTCCAAAAAGACATAATCATCTACCGGTGAAATGCCTTCAAACTTGTGGTTGACACCGTAATAACTTTGTAGCACCATGGGCCCAAATGTTCCATATGGAATGGCTTCCTTAGCAGGAACCCCGGCCTTTGCAGATGGCTGCCTTAAAGGCTGTGCTGCTTCTGTTCGTTTTGTCGCCTTAGATAATGGAGCAGACATCATTGGCGAAGAGGTCGTGGTTTCAAATGGGTCAAAGTACGAAGTAGCCACTTGCATTGAGGAAGTAGATGCGGAATGAACAGGTGTCTTTGCCTTTGGCTGCTTCGCATCTTGAAAAGTTTCTTTCTTGCTAAAAATGGGCTCTTGGCCTTTTATATCCCCTGCTCCAGTAAAGCTTCGCTTTGTTAAAGACTCTCCCTTTGATGCAGAAATTGGAGCAGGCCCATTCTTTGGGCAACACAATGAAAAGGGCTGTTCTTCAACTGCAGGTAGCATTTTCTTCATCTCATTTTTAATAGGTGGGATTGTTGTTATGGAGGATTCTCTGTTTATATCATATGATGTCCTTTTGGACTCAAGATTCTCAGCATCAACCCCAACAATGTCTATCGGTGAGGAGGGCCTCTTTTTTTTTATCTGCGGATAATCTGGCGAAAATGCCATTTTGAGATCCTTTTTAGAGAACAAATTTTCCGCCGGTTCAATGGAATGCACCAGCTTGCTAAAGACGGTGGAAATGCTAGAGTCCTTTGGTTCGTGTATCTTTCTCGTTTTGCGCAAAAGCAAATCCCTGAGTTCCTGCAAAAGATGCTTAGAAACAGATAACGAGACAAAATCGGAAAACTTTCTTGTGCGCCGCTCATCTCTGATAGATGATGGAGCCGAATTCTTTTCCTCCCCGTCGGTTGAGGAAAAAGAGGGGCACGACGACGAGAGTGCCGCCATTCCAACTAAAAATTAATTCAATTTGTAAATTGCAATTTTATTTTCAATGATTGCAGATCAACCTAAACGGCAAAAGGTCCCCCCCTCCTTCCATTGTCATCTCCACGCTCACCAGGCCCAAAGCGCGAAAGTCGCTGGCAGAATCGTCTGGGACAGCTAAAACAAGACCTTGGTATATATCTGCACACATAGCCAAAGGGGCAGTTGCACGGTGGTATGAAGAGTGGACATTGAACACATCGTGTTGGCCCAAATTGGTCAGTCCCGCAATATGAAAAGGCAAGTGCTAAAAGAGCAATAAAATAAAGGAGAGCTTTCATTTTATATGTGCCCAGAATGTATGTTTCCCGTTATATAGAAATCGATCAAATATATTAGGGTTTTCCATTTGTAATTTTTGCTGATCATCAATAGACCGGATAATTGCGAAAGAATCACCAAATCTTGTTTTGAAGCATCCACATGTGATATCAGTGGCTTTATTAAGGGCGTTTACACCAAACGAGACAATGCGGACTTTTAGATGCTGCTGATGTTCCTTGTGTACATTGTTGCATTTCTTTTACCCAAAAAAGCATACAACCTTTCTGCAAGAATCCCATTTGACGATGAAGCTCCGATATTGCAGTTTGGCCCTAGTCAACCTTGGAAATGGAATGAAAGATCTCTTATTTTGCAGGGAGATACTATGCCTCCTACGCCACGACAGATTCCGATTCAAAGAAATGATATTCCAGATTCGATTCCTGCAAAAGGCACGCTATGGACGGGTGAAAATGGCGTGTGGATAATAAGGGGCTCTGAGCAGAACACTCCGGATCAAAGTAAAGGAACAAGTCTCTCTTTAAGACAACCACAGAGTGAGCAAAAAAGAAATTCCGATCCGCTCTACTTGAGCCAAATTACGCTAACGTTTCAGCTTCTGGCGCGTGTTAACGGGGAAAGAACATCTAGAGGATTGAAGCCGCTCTGTGCAAATAAGTACACATTCGCATTGATGACATAACTAGGAAACTCGTGTCATCATCCACGCAGCATTCCGTGTTGATGGCCAAAATGGGTGAAATGAGCCACCAGCTTCCGGGAGGACCTTCGTTAGGAGAAAGGGTCACCGAGGCAGGATTTGAATGGAGATCAATTGCAGAAAATATTGCAGCAAAAGTATCCGATGTAGATGATGTGATGCAGGCATGGATGAACTCGCCAGGTATATCAAGTCTACATTTGATTTTAGGGCATCGACAAAACATCCTTGGGTCTTTTGAATATTTCGGTGCAGCACAGGTAAGCCAGTTTTGGACACAGGACTTTGCAACAAGCTCAAATCAAGGCACCACAAACGAGTGCATGTAAACTTTAACGTGTGATCGTGCAAGAAACGAGCCGATAACATAACATATGCGGTAAATAGGCGAATCTATTGCGGCTATTAAAGAATTAAAGTTAATTATTTGAAGTAAAATTTAATCGATTTTTACAATTCGAAACAAAGTTTCGGAATTGTCACTGCAAATATATTCGTGATCCGGCCATTCATTGGGAAGATGCCAGCGTTATCAGCAGAACAAGTTGAACGTTTGAGGGTAGTCGATTTACGAGAAGAACTCTCCAGCAGGGGCCTCCAAACTTCTGGTTTAAAAAAAGATCTTGTAGCAAGGCTTTTGGAAGCCTTGCAGGGCGAAGGATCTAGTCAAGATGGTGCATTGAGCCCAACCAGCAAAGGGGAAGATCTATCAGCACAAAGTTCTCCACAACAACAACCCTCTGGACAAATATCAGAGCAACCGGAAAGCCTTATTATTCGCAAACCCAAAAAAAAGGCACACGCAAGTGGTGATGGTGAGCATGATTTTTTGCAAGAAAAGCTGAAAATGGACCATACTCCTTCATCAGAAAAAATACTTGCGCCAGTTATAGATACCATTGCACAGGATTCAAACATGGATATGGTAGATGTTGCACCCAGTGCAAACATACATGCGGTAGATGTTGCACCCAGTGCAAACATACATACGGTGTTTGAAGAAAGCACGCAAGAGCCTTTATCCACTGGCCCAACAGAGCCAGTTTCCATCGATACCCAGCCAATGCGCGTAGAGTGCGATCAGATGGCTCAGGCAGAAGATCTGGTCAAAGAATCTCAGCTCGAAGCTCCAACTCAAAGCTCCGACAAGGAAAATCAACAAATGGTGCACCACATTAAATCTGATGTGGCCGAGTCGAGAAACCCTCTTGCAATATTGTTTGAGGTCAACACAAAACTGGGTTCAGGTTTGAGAATATATCGCCCTAATGGTAGATTACCAATATATTTCAGAAAAGTCTCTTTCCATCACCAGGCTTCTTCCGCCATTTAGCGCGGCAGGGCTACAGCATCTGTTGGAAAGGTATGGAGAAGTTATGGACTTCTACCTCAATTTTGCAAAGTCTCAATGCTTTGTCAAGGTTTTTTCTGCCGTAATATTTTTAGTATTCCACTGAACAATCAGCAACGTATGCACTATCGATGCTGCAAAACCAAAGATGGCCCGAAAAACATGGCGAACTCCTATTTGTGACCTCGGTGCCCTTGGAGCAGATCCTTCAAACCATCGAACAGGAGTCAAAAATCACGGGTGCCTCCATGCAAAAGGGCTTCAATCGTGGCCAAAAGCGCACATTTGAGGAGATAGACCACGCGGAGGGCTATGCTGAGCGCGGTGAAAGAAAATATCACCCTCAGACTATGCTGTTGTAAATTTTTTAAAATTAAATTCATTTTTGAAAAATTAATGCCTTCCAAAAGGCAGCAAGGATCCGAAGATGAGGGGTCTTCCTTCGAAGACATATTCGATGACATTGAGGATGAAGACACCATATTTGATCCTTCTTTGCTTGATGGTTGCGATACCGAAGAGGACAGCGACCAACAAGACGTTAATATGATGCATTCGAAGAAAGCGATTCCTTTATCTTCGATCGGAAAATTTTCCGATCTGAAGATTGAGGAGCAAGAACAGGACGAGCAGGAAGACACTACTCCTAGGCGGACATATTTGCCATCAATGCATGTTGACAAGGACAACCAATTGGATGTAAATCCATCCGTATACAATTTGTTCCGGGAACTTACTATCGAATGGCCCTGTCTTTCTTTCGACTTTTTGTCAACGGATGTAAATGAAAATGGCAATCTCTCTGTTTCAATAGTCGCTGGCAGTCAAGCCGCTTCGTCTTCAAAGAACAGACTGTATTACATCAAGGCTTCTAATCTCAAAGTGCTAAAGAAAAAGCATTCCATTGACTCTGGATATCTCTCTTCGTCATCAGATAACTCGTCCAGCGATGAGGACGAACACCAAGTAAATGTGAAATGCAAAGCGTCATCACCGGCTCTTTCCTCTATCTCTGTTCCGCACCAAGGCTGTGTGAATCGGGTTCGAGTCTCACGAGCAACAGGCATACCAGCATATGTCGCCTCTTGGTCGGATTTGGGGAAAATTTATATATGGAACTCTGAGGATCATCTTAGGCAGCTTGATGATCCTGTTAATTCTTTGAAATATTCATTTATTGGAGAAGATCTCAAGAAAAGGCATAAAGCGGTCAAAAACAACAGTACAGCCTCATTGGCCGTTATGACCGACCATGGCACTGATGAGGGATATGCCCTTGCGTGGTCAATAAAAGGGACACCCGGTCGAATCCTTTCCGGAGACTGCAGTGGCAAAATCGTCATGTCGCAATTGGGGGAAGCAACTTTTACGCCACTTGGAAAGCTCCTGAACCCCTCCTGTTCTGTCGAAGATTTATCTTGGAGTACGATTGAGGCTGAAATTTTTGCCTCCGCCGATACTTCTGGGATGGTGAAGATTTGGGATACCAGACAGGCATTGAGCCCTGTTGCCACAATACATGCCAGCGCATGTGATGTTAATGTTATAAGCTGGAATCCGTCATCAACCTTCCTTCTTGCCAGTGGCGCCGATGATGGTGAGTGGGCAACTTGGGATCTTCGGAAAGTATTTACTGCATCGCCAAGCAAATCGGACCCGCTCGTTTCGTTCAGGTGGCATCAAGCGCCAATCTCATCGATAGAATGGCATCCATGCGAACCATCTGTCATCACGGTCTCTGGATCCGACGATCAGTTGACAATCTGGGATTTGGCTGTGGAGTGTGAATCGTCGATGGATAGCCAACCTGAGGATGGTGTGCCTGCTCAGCTGATGTTTATCCACCAAGGACAACGGGATATGAAGGAGGCCCATTGGGCCCCAGCGCAGACAAGGCATGCGGCTGCAAATGGCGTCATAGTGTCCACCTCTGCAACGGGATTTCATATTTTTAAGCCGTTTAATATTTAATAATACATTTATGACTCATTAGCATGCCGTCCGATTTACCTGCTTCCGGCCCCTTGTTTGATTGATTTTTGCATTGATCTGGTGATGTGCATGCTAATTGGCCAAGATGGCCGATTAGATTGCTGAAGACCTCATTAATGTTACAATGTAATGCAACTCACACATTGTGATGAGTTTTCAAATTAATCACTCAAATTAGGGTTTGGTTACCAGCCACAATTCATCCCGCCAATGAGAGCTCGACTGGTCAGCTACTGAACAATACTTTGACCCATTCTTTTATATTTTACCAAAAGACAAATAAGAGGACCTGCCTTTCTTCTTCTTATTCAATGTCAAGCAACCCACAACCAGCAGTAGCCGATCCTTTGGTACCTTCCTCGGCTAAGGGAGAATCCCCAGCGCGCCCTCCCAAGCCACTGGGAAAGCCCCTCAATCCCGATACACTCCAGCCTCATAAGGCAATGGTTCCTGTCCATCCCAATGATGCGGGATCAGATGCACAGCAGTATTCCTCATCTAGACCCTCTGTGGTCGGGCAGCATTTTCGAGTTGGCAAGAAAATCGGTGAAGGATCCTTTGGGACCATTTATGAAGGTAACCATGCATCACTACGGAACTATTGGCTTCATTCAACCTTAAAATTGAAACTAATTTTTAGGATTCAACATCATTGACAGTTATGCGGTGGCAATAAAATTTGAGCCCAGAAAAAGCGAGGCTCCTCAATTAAGAGACGAGTACAAATCTTACAAGATCCTTGCGGGAACGGGTATTGATGGCGTTTTGATTGTTTTAGAAGGAATACCCAGGGTTTTCTATTATGGACAAGAGGGAACCTACAATTGTCTTGTGATGGAGCTTCTTGGACATTCTCTTGAGTATCTGTTTGACTGCTGTTCTAGACATTTTACAATCCAGTCGGTTGCATTGCTGGCAATTCAAATGGTGCGACCTTTTTCTTACTTTAGATCACACGAGTGCAATCTATTCATGAGCATAACCTCATTTACCGGGACATCAAGCCAGACAACTTTCTTATCGGGAGGAAGGATAAATCGCACATCATTTACATTGTCGATTTTGGGATGGCAAAGCATTATCGAGACCCAAAGACCCGAGTCCACATTCCATATAGAGAACGAAAAAGCCTTTCTGGAACGGCCAGATATATGTCCATCAACACACATCTTGGCAGGGAGCAGAGCAGAAGAGATGATCTGGAGGCATTAGGAAATGTTCTACTCTATTTTCTCAGGGGGTCGCTTCCATGGCAAGGCCTTAAAGCACCTACCAACAAATTAAAGTATGAGAAAATCGGGGAGAAAAAGCAACAAGTATCCATTCTCGAGCTGTGCCTGAGATTTCCAGAAGAATTTTCAGCCTATATTTACTACGTTAGGAAGCTCGGGTTTGAAGATACTCCCGATTATGGATACTTGAAGGGCTTGTTCATTGACCTTGCGTCTCGTCTTGAGGTCCAGAATCCCTTTGTTTTTGATTGGACCCTCTCTGCTTCATCAAGCTTTGTCGTTGCCGAAGCGGCCGCATCTATCGGATACTCTACCCGGCTGGGGATATTTAGTGCTACTGGCCAGGCTATACGTAGATTGAAGCCTGGAGGTAAAAAGGGAAACTTTTTCAATTTTTGTAGATTCTCAACTACTTCTAAATAGCTCTTTTGATCAGAAAAACGAGAATTTATCGGCCGAAGCGAGGAAAGCCTCTACGGCTTCCATGCAGCCTGCTCTTCCCTCTTCGCTGTATGCGACAGGCGAATCCGGTGGAACTCCGGCCACCAAGAGTGAGCCACAAAGCGAAACCGACCACACCCAACCAAAGTCTTCTGTTGTTTTGTTTGCAGGATATCGGCAACAGGAGGGCAGGGAAAAAGAGGCCGAACGAAAAGCAGACGAAGAGGGCATCTCATCAAAGCCCTTCAAACGCAAAAAAAGGGGCTTTTTTTACCAGCTATTTTCTTCTGTTTGGTGTTGCTTTCATTCCCCTTCATTTCATAGAAGTACATATAAATTTGATAAATTTACTGCTTAGACTGATGAGGGGGACCATGCTTGAATATGCTCTTTTTCTACCATCTCTCATAAGGCGCCCACATTCACTGTAAATTTAATATATCTTGGCTTGGTAGAGCAACCAATAAAATTATATTTATAATTAAGATCCACGCTCTGCAGCTTCCTTTCTCCGACCGAGAAGGTATGAGTCTATCAAAATAATACAGAAGAAAGCCAATCCAAAATACGAAGACAGCGAAAACATCTTCCAGCAGCTCGCTGGGGATGAATAATTGGCCCAATTTACTTGCCAGAGAAGAAAAGGGAGCAGTCCGCCATTTAGAAGGCCAAAATAAACAAGCGATTGGCCATTGATCCAGCCAGCGATGTTGAATGAAAATATTGCCAAGGCAGAGAAAAGGGACAGCACTTTCGTTGGATTGGGCCCAAACTTGATGGCAGTTGATTTGACGCCAATTTTTACGTCGTCTTTGAGATCTTGGTATGCATAGATTGTATCATAAACCAATGTCCAGAGAATCCCGCCAAAGTATAAAGGCAACATCGTTGGCAACATCGGATACAGCGCAGAAATTGAAAGTGGATCGGCCACGCACGCCAAAGGCAGCAAAACTGCAGGGTAGCCGACCAGAGCCCCCCAATTGAATGCAACGCCCAACATTAGCTGTGGATAATAAGTAATCCTCTTCATGAGTGGATAAATTATACATGGAAGAACAGCTGCAAATGAGATAGCTGCTGCTAGAGGTGGCAACTGGGAAAGAATTCCCAATCCTCCAACGCATAGGACCCCCATAAATTTATATGCAGTAGCAATGGAAAGAGTTCCCGCAGCTAATGGGCGACCGGAGGTTCTCTCAACAAGCGAATCTATCTTACGGTCGTATATATCATTAAGGACACACCCAGCCGTTCTCATAAACACCGATCCGAAAAGGAACATTACTAAAAGCTTGGGATTGCAAAACACCAGTGTCGGTGTGGTTGAAAGCATCGAGTACGAGCCGAATTGAGTGCTCCAAGCGCAAGGAAGATACAGCAGCCAAATCCCGGTAGGTTTAGTTATTCTTGACAAGTGCACCAAATTCGCCCACATTTTATTGTCCCGAGATGCGGAACTGTCCATCAATGGCTTCCGGGTTTCAGATGGAAAATTGACGGTTGAATATGCAGCATTCGCCTTATTGGCCACTAAATGGTGGGTGCGGTTGATTTTCGGAATTCTGGTCAAATTGCTTGCATTATGCCACATTTTTTTTTGGGGGGCAAAATTTCTTCTCATGCCAAGGAAGGCCAAAGCATTGAATGAAAGAAGACACTGCATTGTGAAAAACAGCAATAATGGCTGGAAATTGCATTAAATTACAAGTTTACAATTTGATGAGAATGGCCCCATTTCATTTTATCTAAATTTGAAAGTTTCATTTGCTTTCGTTTGCCCTTTTGACGTTATCAAATGGATACCAACAAAGACGAATGCGATGTTTATGGCGAACCGTCATCAATTTCAAGCTATGACGATAACCTATATTGGGAAGATATCCCCGATGCCTTGGGTGAAGACAAGCCGTCATCGTCGTTTTGGAGCAGTCCCCCAGAGACGTCCAAAGACTGGTATTCAAATGACTCTTCCGACGAGTATTCGGGCGATCAGCTGCAAAAGCCCTATGCCATCATTTCACAATGTATGCTCCATCCGCTTATTGTAGACGACCAAGAAGGCATGTCTTCTACCCCTTTGAGAGACGATGACGATGATGATGATGTTATTGATGACTCCTCGATATCTGGGGCCGATTGCAAAATATACACAGAATCGATATCGTATTTTGAAAAATTTATCAAATATATGGACAGCGATGTGTTTTTGAACAAGTAGCCATCAATTGTTACACGCTTACTTTTAGGTTGTATTTGGCAAAAAATCTGATTCCCCTCGCCAAGGAGCTGCAAAAGGAGGAAGATATTTTGCTTGTGCTTTCACACATTGACACGTTTTATATGGACTCTTCGGAGCTTATCAGACTGGAGTCGGTTTCGCATCTGTACGAATTTGGGGTGATCATCCTAAGGAAAGCCATTTCTCTCTCTAATGCCAACAGCCACAATGACATCATCGCTGCGATTGTGCAAACCATATTTCCTCTAGGCCTTAATTTATTTTTGGACACATCTGATATTATTGTGGAGTGCGCCTGTGAAAACGTTTCGCTGCTGCTGCTTCAGTTTGACCTGAATTTGTTCTCGACATACCTGATGCCGCTCATTGATGAACTGTCGATCTCCATACATGAGGAGAACCTACTTGTAGCCTCGAAATTGATAGGCAATGTGTGCAAGCAATTTAAATTGAAAAAAAGTGAGGGAAAATCCTTTTTTTTGGACGTTGTTGAGGAAAAATTCATCCCAGTCATAAGGTCCTTTTCCACAAAGGCCTTCAAGGTCAGGGAGTCTGTGATTGAGACGATCTGTCAGCTTGCATCCATCATGGCTCCCGATAAAGCCGAACAAGACCTTTTGTTTATCTTTTCTCGCTTGTGCGATGACTCTTTGTGGAATGTTCGAAAATCTGCTGCAATCCATCTGCCAGCCTTTTCTTCCGTCCTAGGCAAGGAGTGCAAGATAAACAACATCCTTCCAATTGTCCAAAGTCTGCTTAATGATGTTTCTAGACTCGTTCGCATGGCTATAAATAATAATCTTGGCCCGCTGATTTATTCGTTCCGCAACTGTGGAGCTATTCCAGAGCCCTTGATTTCTGCCTTTGTTGATTGTATCCCGGTCCCTGGATTTAACTCCTCGTCATTTAGAGGGGCCGAAACGGATACCATTGCTATCTCGTGTGCTTTCAACCTTCCAGCGGTTGTCTTTTCAATCGGCCCCGAAAATTGGAACCGCTATTTGAAAGGGCCATTTTCTTCGCTTGCAAAGCACTGCGATTGGAGGATTAGGCGTCCCATTTCTTTTGCGCTCTATGAGATCGCAAAATTGCTGCCACCCTCCTCAATTACAGAAGACATTGTTCCAATTTTTTCAATCTACATCAATGACATTGATCAAGTAAAGCTTGGCGTTCTTCAAAATTTGTCCAATCTTTTTTCGATATTCACCTATGCCCAGTCGAAGCCTTTTCTTTCCAACCTTATTTTGCTAGTTGAAGATTCGGGGATAAACTGGAAATACAGAGCCTTCATTGCAAGGTATGGTCACCTTGAATTGATCTTTTAGCCAATTGGGACGGTTTCTTCATATATTTCATTATTCGGAAATATATTCTTTCTTTTTGCCATTGTTTACTAGATTTTCGATAGACAAAATTTCGGCAGTCCGCATCGCCGTAGCGGATTCAGTATGCCACACAATTTTAACCGCCATAGACTGCGTCTTTTATTTCATATTTCATTGCAAACAACTTGGACGATAATCTTGAGGCCTTTTTCAGGGCCATTGCCTTCATGGCCAAAGATAACAGATATCAGGTCAGAATTCAGTTTGCGAAAATCGCTTCAAAAATGGTGGAGCATCCGCTTTGGTCAAATGCCACTTTTAGAATGTATTTTATAAAAGAATGGCTGGAAAGTCTCCGAGGCCTTCAGAGCGACCCGGTCAAGAATGTCCAGCTATTTTACGAGAATACTCTTAAAGAGAAAATTTGCAATTTTCAGACAGAACCCCTTTGCCCCAAGTAGACGATTCCTATTCTGTAGATAAGTTCGTAATTAAACTTATAGTTAAACATTGACCAAAATTTAGCATGTTTTGTTCCTGTTGTGAGCTGGTATAAAATAATATATATTTATATTAAAATATCTTCTCAGTCCAATATCTACGGCCATACACACTGGAAAACACCGGGTCTCGTCCGATCCCCGAAGTCAAGCCAGTGCTGGCGCAGTCAGTACTATGATGGGTGACCGCATGGGAATACTGCGTGCTGTAGGTTCTGTCTTTTTGTGTTTATATATTAACATCCATGCAAATTACGCTTTTATTGCTTTTCAACATCACCAAAATCCTTCTCGATCGCCGCATCATTGAAAAGTATAGGTCTTGGCGCACAATATGCACGGGGACACGTAAAGCATGTTCTTTTGCTAATCCTACAAACATATCCCCTTATGCAAAATAGATTGCAGGCCACGATTGTTGGGCAAATAACACAAAAGCGGGATTGAAAGCCAGGCACTTGAGCGAAACTATGCTGTGAAACTGGAATTGACCAATAACAGTTTAAAAGTGCCGTTAGATAGATGCACAACACAGCCAGGCAAAGATGGATTTTCATTCTTGTCTCTGCTTATTGTGTCGCCATTTATGCCCTGTTTACTGACATAACAGAGTTTACTTCAATAAATAAGCTATTTATTGGTATGTTTTTCTGGAGGAGTGATATAAATCCCTTGTTCCTGCAGGGTTTTATCCATGTTTTTTTGGCGAAGGGCCACCTAATATAATGAACGGTTGATCGTACGGTGAGACAGGTTTTATATTCATTGAAAAGCGAATCGCACGATGGGATATTTGGCCGCCGCTTCAGAAAAGATTCGCTGTACCAGTAGTTGAAGCATTTTTCATATTCCCTTTTTTTTTCGGAGCATTGAGGGGCCAAGCTATCCATCAATATGGAACGAGTGTCTTGGAAATTAAATTTTTATTTTTATTTGAAATGGTCAATTTCAACGCCGACATGGATGGCGCAAAAGAGCCCGGGTTGTCTGCCTCTATTGCAGATGAGGAGTGTTTCGGATCAATTGCAATTATTAGGAAAAACAAAGACACCGAAATATTCAAAATGCGTGAGCCAATGTGCATTATTGGAAGGTACAATTTAGCCTTTGCTTTCTTCTAATAGGGGTCCACAGTCTCATATTGTCATTAAAAAATCGATTGTGTCCCTCAAGCATGCCGTTATTACCACTTCCTCCGACAAGAGCAGTGCTCATATACAGAATGTTGGTGGAAACGGCTTGTATTTGAATAACATTTTTGTTCCAAAGATCGATCCCTCGACAAACGCTGCCACGGAGCCCCTTCCGCTCAAATCTGGCGATGTTTTTCACATATTCGGTACGAACGCTTTTATTTATCCTTGCTTGTAGGGCAAAAGTTTGAATTTAATCTTGATCCAGTCTCAGTCTCAGTCTCAGTCTCAGTCTCRGTCCCGGTCCCGGCCCCATTATCACCATCTTCAACCGTAACAAGGCTGAACACACCAAAGCGAAAAAATCCGCAAGATGGCAGCGATCAGATGGCTAGTGTTTCATCTCCAAGACGTGTAACTTTTGTTGATGAGATTTTATCTCCCCATGCCGACTCGATAAAGCCCAAAGATATCCCGATTACCCAACAAAAGGCCCAAACTGAGCATGCTAATGAGGACCTGGTTTCTGGCCTCGCCTCGGAGCATTCTGATGGCACTGGAAGCGAGGTTTCTCAGCAAAATGGCATCACTAGTAATGGTGGTTCTGAGCATCATGCCGAAGGCTTTTCATTGGGCATTTCACAAGAACAAAAAGACGAATCTATCCTCGCATCTGTCTTCTCAGACATAAAGGAGCCATCTTTAAGCTCCAATTTGGCCCCAAATCTTTCTCCTCTAATAGTGATAGAGAGGGCTATCAACGACCACACAAGCGATATTCAAATTGCCGATGATGGGCCTGTTGATACAAATGACCCCAATTCTTTCCAACACCGCAAAGTGCTGCCTCCAAACAAAAGTGATCATTCTCAACTTTCTACGACAAATCCAGATTCTATTCTTGGAACTGATCAATCAATATCAGTTGTATCAGCTTCCATTCAGCTTCCTAAAGAAGATAAATTATCTTCAAGCTCGTCTGTGCAAGATATTCTATTACCAGTGATAATTGATCTTCCCCAAATGAATTGCAACATTGATGATGGACAGGTAAGTGCAAACGACAATTTGCCATCTGAGGATCGGAAAAAGTCCATCGAAACTGAGCCAGATGGCATTTCTTTTCAACATACTGGGCAGATCGTAACTGGGCTTTTAGAGACATTATCACCTCGACGATCCGAAAGGTTGACCAAACAAACGGACCTTAAGGGCCCTGGCTTTTCGTCACCTATGCCACAAAAACAACCTGAGAAGCTTTTGGCAATTGGTCATGATGTGGAAAATAACAACATATTTTCCTCAACGGAAGCTAATGGCGTTTTTACTTTAAAGACGAGAAGGCAACTTAAACGGCCTTTTTCTGATAAGGAAAATATCCCTGAAAACAGGATCGGAATTTCAAACAAAAACAATATCAACCATCAGCTCGAACTTTCCAAAGACATCTCTTTCATGAATAGCCATCAGCTCCTGTTGGAAGATAGGGTCCAGCATGTCATGTCAGAGCCGGATTTGCTATCAACTGGATGTAGCACGCCAATTTCTGATAAAACAGCCCCAAACAAGCATTCGAGCGCAAGAACTCCTAGAAGTGCTATTTCTGTTCGCAAGTCTACACGAATAGCAGAAAAAGTTACACAAATTAAATAATTGTCGATTACATCGAATTTCTAGCGCTCGTTTTGCACGTAAAAGAACTCGTGTTGTGATTTATTTCTATTTGACTATATGTACATAACAATCGCTTTTAGTTGGAGCTCCATAACTATACTGGGGAGCTTTGATATTGCGTTGGCTGCACAAGTTATGGCGAAAGAGACCTTGGTAGGATATAACTGAGTCTTGAGCTGAGAGATGGATACCTAAAGAGGAGAAAAATTATTGAAGTAAAAGAGTATCTTGGTGGAGGGATTATATTGTCTATGGAATGGGAGAGGATTTTCCCGTCTTTATCAAACGTAAAGTACGAATATCCATTTACGATATGCTCCTGAGGAGGGCCCTTAGAGAAAAAGCGCTCTGGATACACGCCCTCTTCAAATCTTTTTTTAAAGTCCTTGAATGAGTGGTCATTGTGTGCATTGAGGAATTTCATACACAAATACAATCTTCTAGTGAGAGGATACATTATCACAAAAGACATGAAGGTAGGTGGATACCGGATAATTTTCATCTTCCATTGGATGGTAAGCAAATTGGACTCTTTAATAGCTGACTTGTCCGGGAAATTAACTATTTGAACATCAATTTTCGATTGTGTACATCGGCGATTTCGATTGGAAGGTGTATTTTGATCAATTCCACACCAGAGCTTTGCAATGCTTAGATTTAGAAAAGAAAAAAAGCTTCTATAGGAGGAGAGGCCGTATATTCGCACGTTAAGTGGCTTGATTGATAGCAAAACATTTTCTTTGTAGTTTTCTGCGCTTGTCGAAAGATGGTGAGATGCGTTGAAGAAATTGAGAACATCTGCTTGAGCGGCCAATATTGACTTGCCCAGCTGTATGTCTCGGGCCGGTGGGGACGGCTTGCCCAGCGATGTGAAGAGTCTGGATCGAGTAAAAGAAAAAACCTCAAATGTCATGGAAATTGATAATTAACAAGTTTAATTCCCAATAAATAGTGAAATCTTTCGCATTTGCAGTTTATAACCAGGCTAATGGACATTAATTTTTAGTTTCACATGAAGCTTGTCCGGTAAGTGGTCCACCTGCAGTTTGTTTTTTCATCCATCGCATGGATTCTAGATTTTCTTCCCTTTCAAGCTCCCAATGTTAATTTTAGGTTCTTAATGAAGCTCAGCAACGAGACGGTCACCATTGAGCTGAAAAACGGGACTCTTGTTCATGGCACCATCACTGGACTCGACATTCATATGAACACACATCTCAAGACAGTCAAGGTTACAGTGAAGGGCAGGGATCCTGTCTCCGTAGATACGATGAGCGTCAGAGGAAGCACCATTCGGCACTACATTCTCCCAGATGCGCTTCCATTGGACAATTTGCTAATCGACGATACTCCAAAGAGCGTTTCTAAGCGCAAAGAACCAGGTAAACTCCAAAACATCTTATTTGCATAGTCGCCATCAGAGGCCGTGGACGAGGCAGAGGCCGTGGGCGGGGTCGCGCATAATTTGTATTATAAATGTATATTTCCGAAATCCTGGACTTTTCTTTGAGTTCGATCTTTGTGTTTGTTTTCATTTTCCCAATTTCGATTTCTACTTTCCTGCAATCGATTTTTTTTCATGTAATCGATTTTTTCGCATTAAAGCGTGTCTTTTGGGCGGGTCGGCTGCCACAATTCTTCCTTTTCAGGAACACACTGTGTGGTGCAGTTATGCCATCAATTGTCAGGAACTTCACATTTTCTGTTGTGTAGAATCCGTTACATTGATGGTAGATTAAACCAGTCTTGAGAGTTGTCTTGGGGCCTGTATCTTTCCCCTTGCCATAGTATTTTGACTGACATTTTTATTCTTTAAATAAATGTGCGAGCTTTTCTATATTTCCTCAATCGATATGTCGACAAGGTAGCTGAGGTGCGCTAACGATCTTCTGGTGTTTTCCCCCAATTCTTGATGAATAGACGTTATTGTTTGAAGGCTTCCCTTGCTATCGACAATGGGGGCTTGTTGATGGATTTTTCTAATAATTCTATAGCAATTCTCGAGAATCCTCTGGTAAGCAGAAATTAGATGCAGATGGATTTGCTGTAGCATTAGGGTTGCTTAAAAAATATCAGGAATTAAATTTTAATTTTATTATTTAATGGCAGACGAAGGCGAAAGTATCAATAGGAATGCCGAAAATGTTTGACATTGTTTCCTATCGTTCGTAGGAGCTGGAGACGATGAAAAGGAAGCTTGTTGAGATGGAAGAGGAAGCCTTGAAGCTTCGAAAGATGCAGGAGGACTCTGAAAAGCAAGACGATGGTATTTCACCTGAAAAGGAGACCACCGATGCCCGCTCCGTGTACATCGGCAACGTCGATTATGGAGCCTCTCCAGAAGAATTGCAAAAACATTTTGAGTCCTGCGGTGTTATCCAGCGAGTTACCATTCTTTGTGACAAATATTCTGGACATCCAAAGGGGTTGCGTATATTTGGTTTATTGTAGGTTTGCCTATGTTGAGTTCAAAGATGAAGAGTCCGTTGCAGCTGCTGTGGCGCTTAGCGAAAGTGTCTTGCGAGGACGGCTGATAAAGGTGCTTCCAAAGCGGACAAATGTGCCTTTTTTCCAACTTGCCCAGCAAAGAGGTGGGTACAGAGGCTACCATCGGGGTGGATATCATCACCCCCCTCCGCCTCAACCATACTATCCACCCGCATCTTATTACTACGCACCTCGGGGCTCAAGAGGAGGATATGCATCCGCTAGAGGAGCTAGCAGGTATCCGAGGGGAGCCTCTGGGTATCGAGGCGGGCGAAGAGGAACCTCTGGGCATTCCAGCGCAGGCTCTCTATCTGGCGACGAATCAGGTTCCAAATAAATAAGGAAGCTTTTTTGAACCTTCAATGCCTCAAAATTGTAATTAAAAGCAAATTTAATGTTCCATTGCCAGGTGATCGCGAATATTTAAATTAAATGGCTGGCCTGTGGAAATTGGCGGCACCATCTTTTTTAAACGCCACCTGTTTGGTGGGCATCCAAAAAAGGCTATACTCGACAAATGTTAGTTTCGGTCGTTGCTTATGAAATAGCCACTTGTGACAAAATTGGAAGAGCTGATCCCGATTAGAAGAAGGCTTGTTGAACGCATCAAATCCGAGCATGGAAGCAAGATCTTGGGAAATGTTAGCGTCGATATGGTTGGTATTTGTATTTGATTTTTCTGTAGGCATATAACGGAATGAGAGGCATTAAGGCATTGATATACGAGACCTCTTTGCTGGACCCCGAAGAGGTACATATTGGCATTGCTGATCGCGATGCTAGGGCATCCGATTCCGAGGACTGACAATTTCGCAATGCAGGGAATTGCTGCCAAAGGCGCAGAATGGAGGCTCTGAACCGCTTCCAGAGGTCATTTTTTGGCTTCTTCTGACAGGCGAGATCCCAACATGCACGCAAGTCGAAGCGCTTTCCGATGATTGGGCTCGTCGCGCAGCAGAAAATCCCATCCCCGACTATGTGCTAGCTGCCATTGATTCTTTTCCGCCCTCTTTGCATCCAATGAGCCAGCTGAGCTCGGCCGTATTAATGCTGCAGAACAGGAGCGAGTTTGCACGTCAATACAAAGCTGGCGACCTAAAAAGGCAAAATTATTGGCTCCCTGTTTTCGAGGATGTTAACAACCTAATTTCTCATCTTCCTCAACTGGCATCCAGGATTTATCGAAATGTATTTAAGAAGCATTGTCCGGTGGTCCCTGCCGATCCAAAAATCATAGACTGGGCGGGTCGCTTTGCCCAATCACTTGGGATTACAGATGGAAACTTTCTTGATCTGATGAGACTGTATATATGTATCCACACAGATCACGAGGGTGGAAATGTATCTGCACATGCCATTCATCTGGTTGGCTCCTCGCTTTCGGACCCATATTTAGCCTATTCTGCCGGGCTCAACGGACTGGCTGGGCCTTTGCATGGCCTTGCCAATCAAGAGGTGCTCGAATGGTTGATGAAGATGAAACAATGCCTTGGCGAAGGCCCTACCGACGAGCAGGTTGAGGAATATTTATGGAAGTGTTTGAAAAATGGCCAAATTGTTCCTGGATACGGCCATGCTGTGTTGCGAAAAACGGACCCTCGATATCTTTGTCAACGCGAATTTGCGCTAAAAAACATGCCCGACGATCCACTTTTCAAAATCACCAGCCAGCTCTATAAGTTGGCACCAAAAGTATTGGCCCTTCATGGAAAGACAAAAAATCCTTGGCCCAACGTGGACGCCCATTCTGGAGTATTGCTGCATCATTACGGATTATCAGAGCAAGATTTTTATACCGTTCTGTTTGGAATTTCACGAGCACTTGGCGCGCTTTCTGGGCTGATTTGGGATAGAGCCCTTCTTTTCCCAATTGAGCGTCCCAAAAGCCTTACATCTGAAGCGATAATGCAAATGTTTGAAGGCCCGCAAATACCCGTGTCTTCATCATGCCGATAAAGATAAAAACTTGAAGCTTTCCAGCACACTTAAACCTTAGCACCTTAATTTGAACCCCATAAAGTGAGTCTCGTTTATTTCAGGCCTCTATCAATATGGGTGCCAGGGGCGTTGTGGCAGTGACCATAGGCTGCTAATTTGGGTGTGTTTTCCCGCAATAAACATTGACGCATGTGGTCCATTATCGGTGCGGGCGTCCTCAAATCGCAAAGCAAATTTCAAGTGGCGGCGCTATGCTGGGCTTTATCCGTCAACTATTTTCAAAACAGTTGCACACATGGGTAGACCGACCAACCGAAAAAGCATTCGGTATTCCAGGTCAAATCCACCTGTATTTCCAATAAAAATCCATCTCAACGACCAGCATGGTATCCCAAATCGTGTTTGCCGCATTTTCAAAAAGTATCTTGCAACATTTTATCAATTTATTAACGGGCCATTAGAGGCCTCAACTCCTACGTCCATCTCGGCTACTTTTCCACAAATCCCATTGCCGATGCAGCCCGGTAAGAATTTCATTCGATAATTCAACTTCTTGCTCAATCCCCAAGCCATTTAAACGGAACCGAATGACTGCTCCATTCACGATGTCGTCCCAGGTTAGCCGTCGATAATAGCACAGATTTACGCCAAAAAACTTTGAACAAAAAGACTGGGTCAGAGGATGTGAGACTTTTTTTGTATTTGATTGACACAAGTTGGGATCTGCTTCTCGAGCACTGTAAAGGTTATTGATGTGTAAAATATCGCTGGCACAGCACGGGATAGTTCTTTGCAGAACGAAAAATATTATCTCAAAAGTGGTGAGAGAAGGACGAATATGAATTCCAATCGAATAAATTGTATCGGAGACATAGCTGGTCAGAAAGTGGCAGCATTCGATACAAAAAAAGTCTCA